GTTAGTTTAGTTACGTTACCAAGATTAGCCCAGGGTTGGATTCAGACCCTCAAAAATATTGTACACTGAAAATAAAATTATACTATTTCAAAAAAAAAATATATTACGTTTGACGTTTCATGTTTCTTTTTTCCCATGTGCCGGGATTTTGGCGTCACGAGTCTCGTTTATCTATTACGTTTCGTTTTTTGACGGTTTTATTTTTACTTCTGTTTAATTTTTGTCTAAAGAACTTAGTGTAAGTTAAATTTTGAATATTGGTACCTAATATATTTTATATTCAATGAGGGTAAAACGAAAAGAGTATAAAAGAAACCATATCTGCTTAATTGAATCTGATTCATAAAATATTTTGAAATTCTATTTTCAAACCTATTGCTTCTGGAGCATAGAGTTTTTATCGTGGCAGCCCCTCATTATAGTTGTATCAAGGATGCAACATAAATGCATCGATCGAGCATTGATTGACCAGAGCTAATTCTAATTTTATTAAAAAAACACGGTACTCATATACGATACAGAAATTCTCGATATTGTAGGGTTAATATTAAACTGTAAAAGGACCCAATAAAAATACAAGTCGACCTTTAAGTAAAATTGTAGTATTTTCGCTTAGTATTATTACGATAGTTGCCGACACGAGTCGTGAGCACAGATAAACTGTGGTGGGAGGTAGGTACACTGTCGGGCAAAATTATTGGGTACCTTTATTATTTCAATTCGTAATTGAATATTTTCGCCGACTTTTATGAAAATGCTTACTCGAACACATCAACTTTTACTTTGATACAGCAATGTTGCAGATATTCGTGTCCGTTATTTTATAATTTACTATAAAGTATTTAATGTATACCTAGTGGTTAGAATTGATTATTTTATTAAGAAGAAGGAAGAGGTGATATGCCTTCCATAAAATCTGGTGTTGCGGTGCGCCGTACGGTAGCTACTGAGACATTAGTCGCTTTTTATTTTGCGCCCGAAGCAAATAAAGGGCTACCCTATACGTAGGGACGCGGAAAATGCATTACGCATACCACGATAGCCGGTCTATCGTGGTTATGAGGGACTCACATCCTACCGGGGACCTAAGTGATACCCTCTAAAAACCGCCTTTAGGAACAGGCAACTGGCTGGTTAAGCTTTATTGTGCCTTATCGTGAGCGACCCTCTTTTGGGAAAAGAGGGCGCAGGCGGCTACGAGCCGCTGAGGGAGTGCCTACGAAGGCAAATTAATTATGAGTGAGTAATAATTTAATTTAATTAGAGTTAGCCTGAGCCGCCAGGAGGCAGTTCAGGTCGTTTGTTAGTTTATTAGGCGGGTCCGAGAGAGAGTTTCTCGGCCTGCGGACTCGATAGCGAGAGGGGGGTGGGGCTGCATAAGTAGCTGCCTCCCGAATTAAATGATTTGAGTGCGACTCTGAGGCTTTGAAGAAGTTCTCAGAGAGTACATTAGTCGCCTCAGCAGTCTGTTTATATACGTCTGTGATGTTTTTCGCAGTACCTTATTTTTTCATGTAACTAAACACTGAATAGACCATTTGTCGGGATTATCTATTTAATACCGAATTCTTCCTTCCCTGTATATTTGTACCAAAATCTGAACACTCAAAGTATAACAACAAAAATAATTAAAAACAAGAAATAACAAAAATAAATTAATAACAAGGAATACATAAACAACAATAAACAACGAGGTAACAAAAAAAAACTAACGAAAATAAACTAATTAAAAAAGTTATCACTAAAATTATTGCTCTGAAGTGTACGGAAGCCGAATGATGCGTTCGAAACCAATAGACGACGAGAATCGACTGATGAACCAATCACGTTGAACGTCAGCGTGGTCAACGTCGTATCGACCAATAAAAAGTGTGCTCACGACTTATGTCGGCAATTTATACGATACTATGTACTACAAACTATGAAATAATGGTACAATTAGGATAATTATACTACGAAATCCGACCCTGGTTACATCGTGTTTTGATATGACGTTTGTATTATGATAGATGCGCTACTTTTTCTTGTATGAAAAAGTTATGAGTAAAATATTTAGATGGGCCTATCCTTCCTTTTGAAATCATTGTTCTACACCTGATATATTAAACACTTTTCGGAAAGTATTCGAGGCTTATCCTTGTCATACATTTATCAAGTCGAGCATTGGTGTATAATCTGATTATAGTCTATGTAATTGATATCGTAAGCCGTATAATTTAGGGACGAACAATTAGACCTTAGTGACTTACTGTATACATGAAGGGAACTGTTCATTATACGTATCTTTTCTATGTTTTAATTTCTAGTGTTGGTATCTTTGGAGCGTTCAATAACAATTTATGGTGTACGATTGTGGTTATTAGTGGTTAATGAGCCCTAATGATGATGATGAGTGAAGAGAAATATTTTTAACGAATTACAAATATTAAATTTCAAAATAGCCACTGGAGCTGTATGACTGATGTTCTAAGCAGGCTTATAGTTTGAAATAAGTGATTATTGTATAGTTTTGTCCTCTGGTTGGACTGTATAAATATATTAGTTAAAATGATAAACATACATAAACATATGTTAATTTAGTAAAATAAATAAATAATACATAAATAAATGAAAACCCAATCAGATGGAAGCTTTCGGCAGGGGAAACCCAACGGTCGAGGGTTAATGAGCGAGGAAAAGAGACCAGCGGACGATGCGAACGGTATCGAGAAGCACTGCTTTCTGCATTGAGTATGGAAGCGCATCGCCTTCTGTATTTGAGAAGAAAAAGAGTCATTATTATTATCATTACGTGTATGTAGGTTATAATAAATTGTGCCAATAAAGTTTAATTCACACAAGTATATTATATGTTATTTGTAGAAGTAATGGTCTCACACCTAGTTCCAGGCGCACTTCTCATTGACACCTCATATTGTACAAAATTATATTTTTGTTCAGTAGAATAATCTAAATATTCATCCATCAATGTCTTCTTTTATAAAACCAGAAGTGACAAAGGAATCGGCTCGACCGGGGAAGGACCACGCCCTCTCAGAATACCAGCGTCAAGTAGTAGCTTAATGCTGCTGTGTCTCGTATGGTGAGTGTAGAGAACCGGAGGACCGTTTTACTGGAAAGGAGGCATTCCATCTTAATTCTCAGGGGTGACAACGCATCTGCATTTTGATTCTTAATCGCGGTTAAATGTGGATCTCTATGGGCCACAGCAGAAGTGGTAAGTGGACTTACCATCAGGTGGGCTGTGTGCTCGTTTGTCACCCTTATCTTATAAAAAAAAATTATTTATAAAATTGAATTGGCAAACGAATCGGTCCACCTGATGGCAAATGGCTACTGTAGTCCATGCACAACTGCAACTAACTTCAGAGAATACTACAGATGCGTTGTCACCTGGAATATCATATAGCGTCTCTACAAGACGTAACATAATTAATTCACTTTGAGAAAGTAGTTTGTTCAGAATCGTTTACTGAATCGATTCCTATCATTTTAAATATAGGTAATTTTTTATCCCAAAAATAATTAAAACTACGTAAATTACAGTCACACTAAATCTGTACAGCCAAAACAAACTGAAATGGACCGTAACTTAAGGCAATAAGACTTTTAATAGTGCAGTTTTATTTGTATTATTACTAATTCTGTCATTCAATAAAAATAAAGAAAAATGAACTTTATTTCAAACACGTTAAAGCCTTTGCGTTCGTGGATTTGTACTGTGACCACAACATTCTTCCGGAATTAGTATAACTAATTTGATAAATAATCAGTGCATAAAAATGTTTAACTAAAAATTCAGTGTATGTATTATGATTACAACATAATATACTAATTGGGGTGTCTGAGGGTGTGCGTTAATTACGTTACATATTGTATATCATAGATCAGAACATAATAGTGCTGGCACTCAGGTAGTAGAAGTGTTCTAGCGTCTAGTATCCGAGCGAATAGAAACACATATAGTGCTAAACTTTATAACAACAAAATTCTGTACCATTTTGCAGAAGCAATGTTAGAGGAGACGACAATAATTTATAGTTAACTTTTTTAACAATTCCTATTGAATATTTAATATTATTCTTAACATAGAGTAGTAGTATAGATTTATATAGAGATTCTTCATAAAATTATTTTATTTTGTAACGATCTAAAAGCCTTCAAGGTTTCGAGTTCATCATAGTTTATAGTAATTTCTTAACTTGATCTAATTATGTTACTCTTTAAGGCTTTCTTAACCTGATCTTATTATGTTACTCTATAAGACCAAGCACTACATACGGTATTCCGAAACGGAACGAATGGGTCGGCCACTCACGTACGGAATCTCGTTTTGTCCGCAAAATTTTGAACGGAAAACCGCCGTAGGTGTGTGACGGGGTCCTTGATTTTATATGGACTTGCTGCGTTTGGAATCCCGAATCGGAATTCCGAATATGTAGCGGGCATAACTCAACACGTAGTATTTTGTATATGTAGATGTATTCATCGTAATAAATAGATTGTCCACTCGTCTGTTTATTTAATGAAAGCATAACTAATAATGTCCTCCAGACCGAATTTCGGCCACGGCGGCCTGCCTCAACGGAGGCTAGCCAACAGGGCAGGACAGGATTATATTGTACAAGTGTATGCGCAAGCACAGGTGCACTCTCTATTCCCTCACTCTTATAATCCGATGGGGCGGTAAACCGACACGACCGGAGAGAGATCAGGCGCAGGACCAACGGCTTTACGTGCTTTCCGACGCACGGGGGTGAGACACCGCCAACTTCCTGACTCCAAGCAGCTATTGAGAATTTCTGGACAAAAAAACTCAATAATTAATTTTTTGGCCCGACCCGGATTCGAACCCAGGACCTCACGATCAGCAGTCGCACTACTACAACCACGACCAACGAGGCAGGACAGCATAACTACAATTTTTATACTTGTATAAATAAAATTTTCCACTAAATAAACTGTGTTATATGCTTTGTTAATTGTTTAAACTTTTGCAGTGATGAAGCTTGCGCACGTCCAGCCATGGGACTGACGGCGGCAAACCGCGAAGATGCCCCGCTCACCGATACACGTAAGTTATGAACTTAACGTTGTTTCGGGTGCTTATACACGATGAAATCTGTAAAATTAGTTTTATTGCGATATTTTTTCATTTGTTTTCCGTTGTTATAACATAAATAATAATTGTATTGGTGACAAGTAAGTGCTGAGCTTTTTAGCCGACTGCCCCAAAAGGAGGGTAATGTCTTTCAAAAGTATGTATGTCTATTTTTTAGCACGCTCTGTAGTCTAAATGGATTTTAATGCATGAGGTGGTGTGTGGGTTATGAGGTGTCGTTAGATAGACTACAAAATTTTTTTCTTTTCGGTAAATATTTTTACGCAGTTGTTTTTTTTTTAAATTACTGTTCATCATCATGTTTATCGTGTAAGCGGTTTCTTTGCTCTTTACTGTGGGAATTAGTTTCACGACATCTATCGCTACTCAAGGGAGATCGCACGAGCATCTCTATCCATGGTCAGTACGTGACAATTGAAGAGTGACTAGACTGAAACTGACGACTGTTGGAAAATCACTCTATCTCGTATCGTGGGTGTTGTAAATGGACAGCTTAGGAAAATGTAAAGATCTGTTAGATATCGTACAGCTTAAACTATAAAGAAAACAAGGTTATTTTTTCATATAAAATAGCAGATTTTAAATACTCTGGCTGGTTTGAAATTCGATATCTTTCACATTCGGCTTGCTAATGCCATATTATATATATATATATATATATATATATATATATATATATTATTAGACCGTGGTAGCTCAGATGGTTAACGCTCGCTGTAAATATAACAGAACGCGAGTAACCCGGGTTCGATCCCCGCCGGCACCAATGAAATTGTTAATCGCAATTTTAAGTACTGATTTACCACGTGCTCGGCGGTGAAGGAAAACATCGTGAGGAGGAAACCTGCATGTCTGAGGAATAAGAAAAAACATATTTCGAAGACACGTGAAGTTCGCCAACACGCATTTGGGCAGCGTGGCGGACCCTTTCTTGCCCTAAAAACCCTCTAAGGGGGAGGCCTGTGCCCAGCAGTGGGACATATATATGCTGTAACGTGTATATATATTATAAGAATAAAAAAGCTATGATATTAAAAATATGTTCTTCGTAATGATTTCTTGTACATTTACATGAATACTACATATTGCAACAAAACTAATTTTACGGATTTAATCGCGTTTATTTTACATTTGTTTTTCCGTTGTTATTATGTTAAAACGTCCCTAGATTCTGGTTGAGTTTAGACTTCCGTTACGTATGCGTTGAGTTACGATGAGTGTATAGAACCGGATACGCTTTTTACTGGTATTCCATTTTGGTTTTAAGAGGTGACAAGGCATCTATATTTTAATTTTTGACCAAGGGTAGATGAAGGTGTCAATGGGCCATCGCATCCCCTTACCATCAAGTGCTTGCTTTTTAGTCACCCTTATTCTATAAATAAAAAATACGATTGTAAATCGCGTAACTTCCGTATGTTACACATTATAAGGGGTAGATTGATTGACGTTACTAGTTCAGTTCTATTGAAGTGAAAACTTTTAAAACCCCTGATTAAGTACATTGCACGCGATATAAGGTTACCGTAAGATGACACTTGTGGCGTCCGCCGCATGTCGCAATTATCGGATTATCGAATTATTACGTCAATCTACTTGTGTCGCTGTTAGCATTAAGTTTGTCTTCGTGTAGAATCGTCTATATATACTGCACATTAATGAAATTGAAATGTTTATTTGTAAAATTGAAATAACCGACTTCTTATTAAGGTTAAGGGTTATTTGCAAACCATTATTAAAATTTTGGTATGTCTGTCCGTTTATTTGTCTGTCCTGGCTAATCTTTTTTTTTTGTTTTTATAGAAAAGGGTGACCAACAAGCACACAGTCCACCTGATGGTAAGTGGATGCTGTGGCTCATAGACATCTACATTTATCCTCCATCAAGAATCAAAACGCAGATGCGTTTTCACCCCTCAGGACTAAGATGGAATGACTCGTTGCAGTAAAAAAGGGTCTCCGGATCTGTACACGCACCATACGAAACACAGCTGCATTGAGATGCTATTTTACGCTGATATTCTGCGAGAGCGTGGTCTTACCCCGGTCGAGCCGACCCATTCGTGTTACAACCATAATATATAGCTGCAGCGTGGCTCTACCACGTATGAAATCTTCAGTATGTCTAACCGATTGTAATGGAATTACTAACCGATAGAGAGCAATGCCAGGAGGGATCTAAGTTAGGTTGCCACCCGTACTATAAATTTTTATCCCTAATTCAATTGTCGCGCTTTTTTATATTAACTGTGATTAGAAGTCTGGAAAAAGTAAGTTTTACGGAAATAATTTTTTACGTCATGCATGTAAAATTGAAAAATAGAAAATGGAGCATGTATTATGTAATTTAATTAAAAATTAACTGTTAATTTATTTTAATATGAATCTAAATTACTCAGACTCCTATAATTACTTAATTCAATTGAAAGCCAAAGCAAAGAGCAATAACAAATATATATGGATAATACATAAAGATTAAAAATAAATGTGTACTTTTTTCCTGAATTTCTCAAAATTACTATTTATTTTTGGATAATTTTTGGAAAAAATACTATATTTGTTCAAAAAAATGGTGGCAACCCTATATCTAGGCTATATTTTATACAAAACATTTGAATGAATTATCTTATGTAAATCTAAATAACGTCACATTAATAGTTTCCGTTCAGGTGCAGTCGGGGCGGGTAGGACCCATTTGATAAATGTAAATAAATAGGAAGCTCACGGTCACTCCATCTCATATCATGGATGTCGTAATAGCCGACTAAAGTACGATAGGGAAATCCCTAGAAGATATTGCTGCTTCCTGTAAATGACGGTATAATCTGGTATAATCGTCCAGACTGGCGACGGGAAGCAAGACGTCTACCAATCTGTCTATAAAGGCCAATTGCGAAAAGTCATGGAATTTTTTTTCTATTATTCATGAGAAAAGAAATACCTTTTAGGAATTATAGTAATGTTTATAAACACTACTAAAAGTTAATACAGTTAATGGCTCTAAACAACCTTAAAATGTGCTAAAAGTTTGCCTCGTTTTTCCTACATCCCTAACCTGACATAGGTTAGGGATCAGTTCAGACTTAATCAGTTTCCGATATTATCGTACACGTTACGTTGGGCACAGAAAAGTTAGAACAATACGGATTTTTTTTTTTGTTATAGAATAAGGATGTCAAACGAGTGTACAGTCCATCTAATGGTAAGTGGATGCTTCGACCCGTAAACATCCACATTTATTCTCGATTAAGAATCAAAATGCAGATGCGTTGTCAGCCCTGAGGACTAAGATGGAATGCCTCGTTTTTTACTTTTTTTATTAATTTGCTATTTTACGCTGGTATTCTGTGAAAGCGTGATCCTATCCCGGTCGAGCCGACCCATTCGTGCTACAACCATAATATAGCTGCAGCAGGGCTCTACCACGTAAAAAAATAGGTTTGTGCTTGTGGCATATTGTTTGTGACTAGAGATCCTTTTAAATGATAAAGTGGGGTATTCCATCTTAGTTATCAGAAGAATCGATGCGTTTGAATTTTGATTCTCAATCAAGAATGAGCCGTGGTAGCTCAGATGGTTAACGCTCGCTGTAAATATAAAACGCGAGTAACCCGGGTTCGATCCCCGCCGGCACTAATGAAATTGTTAATTGCAATTTTAAGTGCTGATTTACCAAGTGCTCGGCGGTGAAGTAAAACATCGTGAGGAAACCTGCATGTATGAGGAATAAGAAAAAAAAATATTTCGAAGACATGTGAAGTTCGCCAACACGCATTGGGCGGCGGACACTTCCTTGCCCTAAAAACCCTCTCAGAAATGAGGGGAGGCCTGTGCCCAGCAGTGGGACGTATAAAGGCTGTAACTTTACGTTTACTTTTAATCAAGAATAATTGTAGGCTATATCTTGGGCCACAGCACCATTACCATTATCTAGACTGTATGCTTCGTTTGTTCCCTTCACTTCTATAAAAATTTACTCTTTATTATGTAAGTACATATATTTACAAATAAGTAAATAAGTGCATTGATAAATATTTTGTTGCTTGGATAATGTTTGCTACTCCATATTATACATGTAATTATTCAATGGGGTTAATGTTAACGAGGAGATTTGAATTTAAAATTTGCAATTACCAATAAATTTAAATAATAAATGCAAGAGAAAGATTAGGGATGTGAAAATAACGGAAAAGAATCGATTAAATAAAAATCGTTTTTTCTTTATTCTAAATTAATCCATTTTAATAAAAGTAAATAATCGATTTTTTTGTAGTATTTAAAAGTACATGCTTTTCATATTCCAATAATAAACCTAAGAGATTCATATTAACAATTTATCAGATTAAAAATCAAATAAAATTATATAAATATGAATAAAAATAACCAATTCAAAACTAAAAATCAAAGGCAATGTTCCTTTAAAATTTCAAGGTAAGGAATTAGGAAACTAAATAGCATTATTGATACAAATTCAAGTACTATTAAACGTTTTATTTATTGTAATAAAAATGAGAATTAAAAAACTAAACGACTACTCTATAGTCTTAAAAACTAAACTAAAATACAAATATTTCGTTAATCTTCAAGTTTAAACAATAAAGTAATAATTATTGTCACAAATTTTCAGTCCTTACTTAAAATACTTAAAATGATTATAACAAATCCTGAACAACTACGTTATGGTCTCAAAAACTAAAATATAAAACAATCTTTCGTTAATCTTCAAGTTTAAACAATAATAAAATTAAAAATAATTATTGCCACAAATGTCCAGAACTATTTTACATTTGAATAATATTAAAATAAAATACTTTAAACGAGAATTAAAAAAAAATTAAACGACTACATTGTCTCAAAAACTAAAATATTAAACAAATTATTTTTTAAGTTTAAACGTTAAGTTTACACTTTAGTTTTTTAAGTTTTAGTTTTTTAATGTATTATCACAGTTT